TAGTAGAAAGTAGCAGGGGATAGCAGGGTGTTGAAACAACGAAAAAGTAAAGTGAATATAGAGGATAATGCATGAAGAAACATGGCCTGATAGTCTAACAGATACAAACTGCTGATGGGCGGCGCATATACTCTAAGCCGATACACCACTAAATGGTAGCGATGACGGTAAGCATCACCGCACCCGCTGTCCAGCTTCCGACGCCTCTAAGTCTTGTCGCTTGTCGCTTGTCGTTTATAGTCTTTGCGCATTTCACACATTCGGACAAAGACGCAGGGTAGGAACTGGCCATTTTTTCCTTTAGGCTTCGTATATACTTAAGTAGAACGTATAGTACTTCTTTCTCCCCGGAGGCGGCATAGTAGGAATAGTATAACGTATAACGTCGTACCTAATTTTCTCCCCGTAATCGCCTTTACGATATCGTTTATCTTCTGCTCGCCTCGTTCTTAGCCTTAGCTACTCCGATAATATAGATATCTATATAGGTAAGGTCGTATTTATAGGCGCTGGACTTATAATCCTTAGGCGGGTTAGAGTACTCGTTTGGGTAATTTTTTTTGTAGCAAACCTGACGTATTGTCTTTATCTTTGGAGACATGGAAGATGCTTGATTGCCGGTTATTTAGAGGCTTTATGACTTTATGGTTATTGCGTGCGTTACTGTGCTGCTTAGACATCAGTGATACTGACTATGGCAAACCCGAAGCTGCCTGAATAACTTCATAGGCAGCTAGGAGCAACTAACCTAGACCAAGATAGTAGTACTCTTGCATTGATAAAAGATTACACATCCATAACGCTCCAGTATTTGCCTGTCCGACCGTCACTTAATAATCACGGAAGGTCTGCGGTACTCCATATCCGCACGCATGGCGATGATGCGAAGACGTCTCATTCTAGATAGAGTTGCTTAGACTATCTAGTATCTAAGCCTGACTTGAAGCATCCAATGTTCACTTAGCAGTGCTTCAGTGTCAGTAATGCCGCTATCTTTCCGGCCATAGCCTTGCCAACCACCATGAGCACCACGCAAACGGACATGTTCCTTCCTCCCGTCCATGAAAGCACCGGCCAAATCAGCCACAAGGGCCGCCCAAACGGCCACCGCAACGTCGTCCTAGCCTTAACCATCTCCCGGTACCTACGCTAAAGGAAGGAGAACGTCGAATAGATCACGTCCTCTGCGCATTACCACGCCTTGAAAGTCAGGATCACCCAACCTCGAACCGTTTTAGTCGCCGGAACTCCTGGGCCTATCATAAAGCTTTAGACTTCCCCTTGATGCATCTGTAGATGTGTCCCATGATGATTATGTCCTTCTCCTGCTCTACGCTGCTTACGAGACTGAACAGCGTGGCCAAGTCGCCGGTATCCGTGCAACCTGTCTTCGTAAGAGCGCGACGTTCCTCATCGGCCTTGGCTTGCATCCATGTTTTCCAGTTGCCGAAGATTGCAAGAAAGTCGCTGGCGCGAGAAAGCGCGGAGTTAAGTTGACGTTTCTCTTTAATGATGTCGACGTCTAGCGGATCTTCGTTGTTCGATACGAGTGACACCAGGACGATTCTGGCCTCGTCGCTCTGCATGCCCCTTGTTGTCTTGACACGCACGTCCGGTAAGCCTGTACTGTATAGCTGCTTCTGGATCTCGCGCATCTGGGCGGAGTAGGGAGTGACAATCTGCATGTCCCCGGGCTGAATTTTCGGAGTCTGCGCTTCGTCCGCGGGTTCGTAGTTGAGCAGAGTCCTTGCGAAAATAACTACTGCCTCGGCTTCTCTAGTATTGTATCTAGAGGTAGTGTCCTGGTATGTCATGGAAAGGGCTTGAACGCCATCGATGCCCCTAGAAACATCAATCGCCATGCGTCTGCGTCCGTTCCAAATGCCGTTCTCCGCGAGAGGAGCGAAAATTCTCTTTACGATGCTGAAAATTGGTGCCCCAGTATATTTGAACTGCAGTGCGTTGTTGTAGAACTCTGAAGATATCCAAGTGCCAATATCTTTATGCATGCGATGCGACCTAGTGAACATCGTATAGAAATAGCCCGGCGGCGGCGGGCCTTCGACGAAGAGCTTCTCAAATACCGTTGACTTCAGGAAATCGGAAGCTTCGTTGGCCTCTTGACTAGCAACTAGTGACTCAAGCTGCATGTGATCGCCAGAGAGAGCAATTGCCTCGATTAAGCCTAAGTACGCTGCCATCGGAACACATATATCGGTGATCGAAGCCTAGGCAGCGTCTTCAACGACAAGGTAGGTAGGCTTCCAAGGAGTTATACAAAATGTCGTGGCAGGATGTCGAGTTAGTCGCGAATACCACCTTACAGCGTGTCTGGAAGTATACTAGATCAAACTTCATATGTAACAAGTTAACCTGGTTTCGAAACTTCTCGATTTCCTTCCAATTAGAGCTGTTTTGCTTGATAAGGATTCTCAACATCATATTACTATGTATATAAATACGAGTTCCTTGTAGTATTTATGCCTCGGGCTCTCCGAAATTTTCTTAATCATAGTCGCCAACTTGGCAAGGAAGCCATCGACAACCATGAGTGCGTCCGTCTGCCCACTAGTAGTATCAATAAATAACGGTTCCTTCGTTTAATTGCTGGGTTACTGCTTCCGCAAGACATGAAACTGACTGGCGCTTTTATCCAGGTCGTCGCCTTTGAACAGGCAATAGGTGCTGCTTTCTAAGTAGGTGATCTCTTTGAATTTTCTGAACGCAGCTTCCACTGCAGCATTCGTGGATGCCGTGACCAGTACCAACTCGCCACATTCGGCGAGAGCTTCGACGCGGATCATACCTGTCCTAGTCTTCCCAGTTCCTGGCGGACCAAAATCAATTACCACGCCGGCCGGGCTCTTCAATGTAGCACTTAGAGCTCTAGTTAACGTATTATTCTCGAAAACTTTGTACGCGTCTCTATGGAGAACACCCGTAAATGTTTTAGTCCTTGTATTGTCAGAAAGATACTTGTTCCTGAAGAAACCGGGGTCTTTTGCCGAAGGTCTGCGCAAGCCGACAAGTAACGCAATGTCGACGCCCTTTAGCTTCTCTGGATCAGGAATCCACTCAACGGCGTTGAAACAGCGATTAGTGGTTACCTCGTCCTCGACAATTATGACCAGGCCATCGTAAAACGTCTTCGGATCGAAAGTGTCAAACCCCTGCTTGACGAGCATATGTGTATGCTCGTTTGAGTTTAGAGGATCCTCGATGACGATGTCAGTTATTGGCTTTAGAGAATCTTCGACAACGGTGCCAGTGAGCTTCACAGTCCTATTTATGTTGGGAAATTTGACCGTGAGTTCCATAATCGAGCCGAGTGGAGCCACACGGGGTCTGTCCATTTTACTTTTATCTTTGAACCACAACTTGACCAAGTTGACCGCACCATGCAACTCGAACTTGAATCTGACGCGAGTCTGCCGGTATAGATTTGTCATCTGGAGAACGCGCCGATTATACTGCGCCTCGCGCAATATGCCAAGCCGACAGAGGAATCTGATGGTTTCTGGGTCCGGATAGATGACAGGGACGCCAAACGAGCTCCAAGTGGCTGGTGAAAAGCTGACTACTTTACCGTGGCTCCGTATGTTATTCCAAGACTTCGTTATCTACCTTGGAGGCACAAGGTCCTGGATGGGAAACTTGTGATCTCCTATGCTTATGTCTTTGGTGACGGCGGGGTCTTGTTGCAGCCGGTAAAACTAAAGATTGCTGTGTAAAATAGCTATACACATGGCACCGAGGAAGAATTTCGTAAATATTGTTACTACGCGTGTATCCTCCTCGACGATACGTTGATAGATCGACATCCGTACCTTGGGCTGGCTAAGGCGGGCGATGATCTTGTCCCGGTTAGATATATACTTACGTGCATTTAGATCCGTATAACTCGAGATTATGTCGTTGAGGTTGGCCTTACTTAAGCCAGTGAACTTGATTTGCTTTGTAATCGTCCTCGACGGTAGTGACTGAGTACCGCCGACGTCCTCGGATGCCCGAAGGGCTAGTCGTTGCTGCTGCTTAGTCGACTCTTGAGGTTTAGCGTTGTCAAGGACAATGTCCGTCAGCTACAGCTCCCTCTTAAGCCCTAACTTGTAAAGGCAGTTGCCGTCTTACTTCGGCGCGTATCGGTCCTTGATGGTCCGATCCGCTTGAGAGCCAACAGCTATCTTGATTCTATCCATGCCGCCTTTGGTGAACGTCTTCGGGAAAGCGCCGGAAAAGATGTAGCAAGCGACTTCGCTGCTACTTGTGGTGGAGCCAGTAGGGTTCAGCCCGATGCGGATACCAGGCCACTGTGTCGCGGGTATAAAACCGACGGTAATTTTGGCGGCTTCCTTCTTCTTCCCGCCGGCGAGGGTGCCGAAGGAATCCCGGTCCGCATTTCCGTCTTCACCCAAATCGCCAAAGCAAATAACAGCCGGAGTAGGCGCTGTGGTGTCAATCCTCTTGTTCAGGTTGTGCTCATAGCTTTCATCGAGCGAGTGAACTGCACGATTGGATTGTATCGTGTCACATTGGCGATAGTCCTTGTGGACTACTCTGACGTCCCTTCCGTGACATCTGTTAGGGTATAGTGTGGGTTCCTCTTTAAACTTGAACTCATCGGGCAAGTCCATGGTTGGGGTGCCAAAAAGTCGGTGGTTCCGGTTGTCCTTGTTGTCCTTGTCGTGGCGGGTGAAGGCTCTTCGAACAATGTATGAAATAGAGATAATTATAGAGCGGTAAGAGAGTTCGCGAGCGCCCAGAAAATCTTTGGAGATGTGTCGGTAGTGGGTGATGGGGTGAGGAAGAGGAGAGGAGGACGGTTGACAAGGAAAGTCGTGGCCGGTCCGTGCTCGCGCCGCGGCGCGCAGAATGACGCAGCGCCTTCACCACCCTTAACACACATGGCTTTACGTACCCCAAAAATCAATTCGGGAAGATGCATTCGATTAGCACAGCACCTTTCAGGAGCACGTGGAGGGTGCGTTCGGCTAATGCTTCGCGCCCAAAAGCAGTACAGAGGAAGTTAGCTGAACAGATTAACCCTACGTACAAGCAGCATCCAGAACCCTCAACGCCATTCCAAAAGGTTAAACAGCTTCTGATAGACGTATCGAGAAGGGAAGTGCAATCAACAACATGACAGACAATCGACGACAAGTGTGGTTAGAAGGACAGGCATCAACTGCCGCGACTTCCACATGCACGCACAACCCCTCCACAAACCCCCGCCCCGCCCCGCACTCCCGCGCCGGAAAGCTGGAAGGAAGAGCGAGGCGGGACCAAGGCCAAGAGCGGGAAGCAGCGGAAAACCAGCCCAGACCAGCCCAGCTCGCAAGCGAAAGCCAAGCCACAGCCAAGCCTTGCGAAGCTCAACCAAGCCTCAAGGCGGGCGACGGCAGACGGCGGGCCGATCGCGGCTGTTGATCCTTCGCTCGCGCTGAGATGAGATACCTATCAACATGTGGATCCAGTAGTCTTTCTTGCTGACCTGTGGTCGTCAGCCAGATAGCGACACGCTTGTCCCGAGGACGGAAGTTGGAAGGGAGGCAGGCACGCACACCTCCGTCAGCAGCCACACGCGCGCGCCCTTGCTCCCATCGCCCCATCTACTCTACTCGTACTCGTCCAGCCACATCTCGATTGCAGCGCGCGCTCGATTGATGATGATGATAATGATGATGATGATGATGATGATGATGATGATGGTGGTGGTACCTAGATTGCAAACGCGTTCGTCGCGAGCTAGACCGCTTTCTGGTGCCCAGGCTCCGACAGCGGCGGATGAGTTTTCCGGTTTGATTACTCACGTGGGAACAACTATCACAGCAAGGAAAGTAAGAGTAAGCTAGGTGGCGCCATGACTAACAGGACGGATTAGATTGGGTTTTACAGAGTAGATAAGCAGTAGATGGATGGATGGGCACTACTCTACAGTAAGCTAAGAGCAAGCTTGCCTGCCTGCTTACTCCTACCTAGGTACTGCGTACTGCGCAGGCGCTCCTACGGCTTCCACCGCCCTGCTTGCTCCTCCTCTTTCCTCTTTCTTTACTTTTCCAATTGCTTTTCGGCGCCTCCGACATACATCCACACCTACACACCAGCGAGTCACTCGCACCATCGCCACCACCAACATGGCGCACACGCAAGCCCCTCGCGCCTCACCACCACTACCACCACCCGAAAAAACAAACATCGACGTCGAAGCCACTGCCGCCACCACCGCTCCGCCCCCGCCTCCACACCCCTCGCCCGCCAAGCAGCCCACAACAACGCGCCTCAACGCCCTAACCACGCGCATCGCCGCCCTCGCCGGGCTCGAGACGCGGGGCGTCGCGCGCGTGCCGCCGTCGCAGCGGGAAGCGGCGTCGCGGGCCGCGCTGGCGCAGATCGCGCTCGTGTGGCTGAGCACAAACATGACGGCCAACAACCTGACGCTCGCGATGCTGGGCCCGCTGGTGTACGGGCTGGGGTTCGCGGACGCGGCGGCGCTGAGCGTGTTCGGGAGCTTGGTGGGCGTGGCTGGAGCGGCGTATTTGGGGACGTTTGGGCCGCGGAGCGGGTGTCGCACTATGGTGAGTGAGTGGGGAGGGTGTGGGTGTGGGTGGGGGATGCTTGATGGGCCTGTGTGGGTTGCTGCTGATGCTGTGCTGTGCTAGATTGTCGCGCGCTACTTCATGGGCTACTACCCCTCCAAGATTGCGTGCCTGCTCAACGTCGTCATCATGATCGGTTACGGCATGATCGACTGCATCGTGGGAGGGCAAATCCTGTCGGCCGTGTCCGGCGGCCACATGACGGTGGTGGTGGGCATCATCGTGGTGGCGGTGGTCAGCTGGCTGGTGGCGGCGTTCGGCATCACCGTCTTCCACGCGTACGAGCGGTGGGCGTGGGCGCCGCAGATGGTTGCGCTGCTGCTGCTGTACGGCGTCGCGGGCCCCAAGTTCGACACGGCGTCCGTCTCCACGGGCTCGGGCGCCACGCTGCACGGCAACCGCCTCAGCTTCTTCTCGCTGTGCCTGTCGGCGCCCGTCGCGTGGGCCCCCTCGGCCGCAGACTACTTTGTGTATCTCAACGAGGCGACGCCGCCGTGGCAGACGTTTGCGAGCGCGTTCGCGGGCATGGGCGTCGCCGCCGTGATGGTGGATCTGGCGGGGGTGGGGCTGGCGTCGGGGGCGCTGCGCGACGCAGGCTGGCGCGGCGCGTACGAGACGTCGGGCGGGGCGCTCATCGTGGCTGGCTACGAGGGCATTGGGGGGTTCGGGAAGTTCTGCTCCGTCGTCGTCGCACTGGGCGTTATTGCCAACAACATTCCGGGAACGTACTCGGCGGCGCTGGGGTTTCAGGTGCTGGGGCGAGGGCTGGCACGCGTGCCGCGGTGGGCTTGGGTGAGCGTCAGCGCCGTCATCTACCTGGCGTGCGCGCTCGGCGGGCGCAACAGCCTGTTTGACATTTTCGAGGACTGGCTCGCGCTGATGGGGTACTGGGTGTGTCTGTGGATCTGCATCGTGGGTGAGGAGCAGGTGCTGTTCCGACGAGGGAAGGATGCGTTTGACTGGACGGCGTGGAACGACGAGGCGCGGCTGCCGCTGGGGCTGGCGGCGCTGGCGGCCTTCTTGATCGGGTGGGCGGGGGCGATTGTGTCAATGGACCAGGCGTATTATGTCGGGCCCATTGCAGCCATGGTGGGAGCGGACGGGGCGGATCTGGGCATCTGGGTGGGCTGTGGGTTTACGCTCGTGACGTTTCCGGGGTTGAGGTGGTTGGAGTTGAGGAGGTTCGGACGGTGATGGATGGAGATGGGGATGGCGTAGGGCTGAGCTGAGCCGCAGCCGAGGTGCCAAGTTGCACGTCGTATCTTTTCGTCGAACGCCATCGATCGATTGCTCCAATGTCTCTCGCCCTGACAGACAAAGCGACTGCTAGGTTTTGCGGATTGCCACCGTCAAGCTGCTTCTTGCTGTTCCGCTCCTCTCTCCAGCGCGCCTTGCGGTCCAACGCCAAAGCCGCTAGCAGCAGCTCAAGAACTCCCCATGGACCACCATGAGGCCCCCGTGCAAGACGAACCGGTTTGACACACTCCAACCCCATGCGCACATCATCGTCTCCACAAGGCTGAGCCGAGATCCGAGCCTTTGGCCGCGCCGATACGTCATTTCCCAAGTGGGCCATATGACGCCAAATGCACGACAAATCCAGTCGACTTTCTTCCAAGACTGGCCTTGCACAGCCGCTTCATAAGGCCCATCTCCCGGCCGATCAGCATTGTTTCTACCTCCACCTAACCTAATTCCTACCCGCCCTCTCACTACCGGTCACACAAAATACCTAGTCATACATACATACAACACCACCAAAATGAGCGCCACATCCTCCGTCCAGTCCCCCCACCCGGACGCGCGCAAATACGGCGCCTTCCAGAACCACATCTACGCCCAGGGCACCTTCCCGCCCAACACGCTCCCGACCGTGACGACGGACCCGAACAAGCTGGAGGCGCAGGCCGAAAAGGCTCTCTCGGCGCGGAGCTACGCGTACGTGGCGGGCGGCGCGGGGGAGAGGGCGACCATGGACGCGAATAGGTTGGCGTTTCGGCAGTGGAAGGTTTGTTTGCACCTACCTACCCATCTACCTACCTGCTTCCTCTTGTATAGGTACAGAGGCTAACCTTTCCTTCACAGATCATCCCCCGCATGCTGCGCGACACGACGCACCGCGACCTGCGCACCACCATCTTCGGGCAGCAGTACGACAGCCCCCTACTCTTCGCGCCCATAGGCGTGCAGTCCATCTTCCACGAAGACGGCGAACCCGGCGTCGCGTCCATTGCCGCCGAGCTCGGCGTCCCGTACATCATGTCGACGGCGTCGTCGCACAGCATCGAGGCGGTCGCGGCCGCCAGCGGCGCCGGCCCCCGCTGGTTCCAGCTGTACTGGCCGCACGACGAGGAGATTACGCTGTCGCTGCTCGCGCGGGCCAAGGAGAACGGGTTCAGCACGCTGGTCGTGACGCTGGACACATGGGCGCTGGCGTGGCGGCCCTGGGACCTCGACGGCGCGTACGTGCCCTTCATCAAGGGCGTGGGCGACGCGGTGGGGTTCAGCGACCCCGTGTTCCGCCGGAAATACAAGGAGGCCTCGGGCAAGGAGGTCGAGGACGACGTCGTTGCGGCCGCGTACGCCTGGACGCAGACGGTGTTTTCGGGGCGCGCGCACAGCTGGGCCGAGGTGGATTTCCTGCGGAAGCACTGGGACGGCCCGCTCGTGCTGAAGGGGATCCAGCACCCGGCGGATGCGCGGGAAGCGGTTGCGCGCGGCGTGGACGGCATCGTCGTGTCCAACCACGGGGGGCGGCAGTGCGACGGCGCGATCGGCTCGCTGACGATGCTGCCGGAGATTGTCGAGGCGGTGGGAGACAAGGTGACGGTGTTGTTTGACTCGGGCGTGCGCACTGGCGTCGACTGCATCAAGGCGCTGGCGCTGGGGGCCAAGGGCGTGCTGGTCGGGAGGCCGTGGTGCTACGGCTTGGGGATTGGGGGGAAGGCGGGCGCCAAGGCCGCCATGCAGGGCTTGCTGGCTGATTTGGACCAGAGCATGGGGTTGGCGGGGATTAGGGATATCGCGGGGTGTAGCAGGGAGATGGTGCGGAAGGTCGAGTATGCGGGGGAGAGGTTTAGCTCGAATTAGGGGAGAGTAATGCATGGATGGATGGATACTAGGTATATATAGTAGATAGATTAGATATTAATAATTACTAGACCATTGCACAAACCCCACACACACAATCAAGCCGCATACGCGACAACCTCCGGCTCAGCGACCCTCTTATCAGGAAACACCAACTGCCGCGCGGCCGCCAGCGGAATCAGCCCCGCCGTAGCCAGCACGTCGTCGAGCCCCAACCCCTCGGCCGCAACCCACTTACACAGCGCATCCAAATCCAGCCGCTCCGCCCGCCCCGGCCCCTCGTGCCCCAGCGCGTCGACCACCAGCGCGTACGCCACCGGATGCGCCAGCACGCCCGCATGGCCGTAGAACCCGCCGCCGAGACCGCGGCCCGCGCACACGGCCTGCACCTCGTTGTTGGAGGCGCTGGTGAGTATGGCCGACGCGCCCGCCCCCTGCTGCGGCTGCACGACCTCGTCCAGCAGGCCCGAGTAGACCGTCGTGGTGGGGACGAGGGCGCTGGTGCCGCCGTGGGCGCGGAGAGTGCGGATGAAGGCCGCGGTCGTTTCTTGCTGGAGGACGGCCGGCGGGCAGGGCATGGCGAGGCAGTTTGCGTCTGCGAGCGCGGTGCCCGCGAAGTCGGGCGAGATGGCGATGAAATCCTGGACGAGGGCGCGCGTGGACGGGAAGAACGTCAGCGCCCACTGCGCGTCGAGGGCGGCCTGGACTTGGGCGGGCGAAGTGGGGCGCGTGGTTGGTGTGGCTTGGGCGTGGGCAAGGGCGGAGAGGATGGCGCGGGAGGAGTCGCTTTGGTTGTGGTTTGTGAGGGCGCGGTTGATGTCGTCGAGGATGGGGGAGAGGATGTCGCGGTGGTCGAGGACGGGCGAGGGCATGGCCGTGCTGGGCTGCAGCAGCAGCAGCAGCAGCAGCACGCCGAGGGAAAGGAAGATGGAGGCGCGCATGGCGAGAAGAGTTCGACGCGATGGCAGACGGCAGCAGCAGAACGACCAGCACTATATACACCAGCGCGACCAGGGCGGACACCACGGCAAGCTAGGGACCAGCATACCCGCTGCGCGAGATGCAGACGTCGGTGTGTCTGGCTGCTTCACGGGTGATGAGGCAGTGCAACGGAAAAAAGAACGGAAAAGTCTAATTTGTTGTTGTGGCAGCTTGGCTGAGAGCTGATGGTAGCCGGGACGAGCTGAGGTTCAGGTCGATGACGCGCGACAGCTTGATATGTACTGCAAGTATTGGCTTCTGCCGGATGGTAGTTTCTGCTGGCCGAAAGAGGGCGTGGAACGAAGAATGCGTGTGAGAATGCAGAGGTGCATGCACATGGTATAACACCGACCTCCTTCCATAAGTTCAACGTCCTTCCTGGACCGACGAACCCAAGAGTTAAAGAACTCCCTGAACCCAATCAATGTTAGCGCCTTCCGCTTTGGCAATTGCCAAGTAGGTACAGTGACGGGATTCGAATAAAGACCGTTAGATGTTAAAAACGATCTATTTCTGCCTGGATACCTATACAAGTAGGATAAGGTACTGTCGATATTCGAAGCATTAGCTATACCGAGGGCCTATACTCATATCAGGACGACTAGCTCCTAAAGGCGGAGGCTTCCTCCCCTGGCAGCGCTTGTCCCGTGACCACTTCCGTCTCACTCTTTCGGTCGCTATGGGGATGCATACGTCTGAACGGCTCCGCCGGGTCGCGGCTGCGTGCACCTTCGTCTGCCCCGCGGATTACAAACCATCGGGAGGCCGCAACGGCACCGGGAACAGTTTCTGGGGTGATGCAGCTGTGCTTACGAGAAGAAGGATTGTTAAGGATTGTTGATCTGCAGGATCCGTGAGTGTCTCGTCGGTAAGATCTGACTCCGGTGCCGACAGATCGCGGGCTCGTCCCACTTTTCTTTTCATCACCATTACCAATCAAAGCTTATGTCTATATCCCTTACAAATTAGCGTCTACATTTAAATCAAGCCAATAATCATCAATGGTCTACTCACACAACGACAACCAGGAGATTGCAACCCTACCCATTCAAATCAAACAGACCGCAACAATGTCCCAGAACATTCTCATCACGGGTGCTTCAGGCTACCTTGGAGGAACTCTTCTTTCTCGATGGAACGAGGCCAGACTGGACGGCTACGACAAACTGTTCGCCCTTGTCCGCACCCAGGCTCAAGCAGACGCCGTGTAAAAGTACGGCGCTGTACCCTTGAACTTTTCCCTAGACGACCAAGATGCCATCACCGAGGCTATTACGAAGCACCGCATCAATATTGTTTGCTTCATGGTTGATGTTGTCTCTTCGGATGCTCAATTGCGCTTTATTAAAGCCCTGGCGACACTGAAACAGGAGACGCATCAGGAAGTGCACCTCTTACACGTTAGTAGCTGCCTCCGTTGCCGTGAAAATGTAGATGTTAACATGTGAAACAGACATCCGGCGCAAAATTGTTCTCAGCCCGTGCCGGAGCCCCGACCGACCGCGAAATTTCGGATGCAGACCCGAACCTTTACGACATTCAAAAGCAGCAAACCCCTGAAAATGCTCTGACGCAGAAGGTAAGACTCTTAAAGCTGTTATCTGGGCAACTAGCTGACTGTGTAAAAGGCAGTAAATACGAACAACACCATCGTCGAACAAGACGAAGCCTCTGGAGTCAGAACCTACATCTTTGTTCCCTGCCTTGTCTGTACGTGGATTATTTCTTCTCTTCCAGGCCAAGTCTCTTGTGCTAACATTATTCTCTCAGACGGCAAAGGCGAAGGATTTGGAAACCAAATCTCCATCCAAACCGTCGCCGCCGTAAAAGCCGCCAAAGCAACTGGCCAAGTCTACAAAATCTCAAAAGGCCGCCCAGTACGAACCACCCCCAACTCACCTCACACTCAACTCCTCTTCAGAACCCCCAAGCTAACAACACGACAGGTCTGGCCCGTCTGCCACGTCTTGGACAACAACACTCTCTACGTGAGCCTCCTCCGCGCGATCCTGAACAACGAGAACCCCGACCACGGCCGCCACGGCTACTACCTCGCGGCCTCGGGCAGCATCGTCGTGGACGACCTTTACGTCGCCATGGCCGCGGCGCTGGCGAAGCGCGGCATCGTCAAAACCGACACTGTCGAATACGCGGACGATGCCGCGCTCGAGAAGATTGGGCGCGCGTTGGGCTGCGACCCGGCTCATGTGGAGGTCCATCTCGGCGGTTTGTGTACGCTTACTGCTGCGCGTGGGGCGCGGCTTGGTTGGAAGCCGCAGTTTTCGAAGGAGCATGCTTTTGAGGCTGCGGATGAGGAGGTGGATTGGATTTTGCGCTGTTTGGAGTAGTCGGCTTTGAAGGTGTGGTCTGTCTGTAACTATTCTTAGGGAGCTAAAAAGATCATGTTCACAGAGTGTTAAGCGGTTTCGACACGAGCTGTTGGTAGTCTATGCGCGACAGTACGGACGCCTTCATGTAGGTCTGGTGGCAGAATCTTCGCGTGAATATTATATTCTTTTCCCACTTCTATTAGTATCTATTTAGTAGGCTTTGAATGGATTTCTGTCCGGACAAGGTTAGTATACAATGCACGACTTTGGTACGCTACAGCAGCGCGTTAATCGGATTCATGGTACTCGTCAAATTATGTCAATATGTCACTCTTTCCTTTCTTCATTTGTTACTTTCTTTCCTACTCTCCTATATTCTCGGGTCTTCACTTTCACCAACCGCGCCAGACTTCTACCTCTTAATGTAACTCTATAAATGAACTACCCTGTAGATAGCGATGGATTCGAAATGTCGGATTGTCTAAATGAGCAAAATAAGTAGAGGCCATCTAGCATGCTTTAAATGCGGCCAGTGTGTAATTATCTGCTGGGTACCACCGCAAAGCTGCTGGGAAGCTGCTACCTAGGCAGCAATCTTTACCTTGTTATAATCAAACTCTAAACCATAACATTCTGCGGGGATCATAAGAGGCTATGTCTATCAGAGTCATTAGACGCTATGTTGTAGCATTGGAGCCTAGAAAAAGGGCCGGGGTAGTACCGGAAGACGTTTAAATCGGCTTGACACGTTGCATCAAGCAGTTTATACATACTACTACCATCGAATTTTGCAGAAGAATCTAATTTATTGCATATCTCCCAGGATTGGTTATTCCTGAAGCGACTTGGACAAAATGAAACTACTAGAGCTTCCACTCGATGTTTTCCTGACAGTCATTGATGTCACTGTGCACGAATTGGGAGTGAGAGGATCTATGCGAGCACGCTTAGTCTGCCGTAAGTCTCTGAATATCATACTTTTTCCGTATATTATTTACTGATGCTGAACAGGTTCTTTTGCAGATGCAATTCCCGAAGCTCTCCATAGGACCAGGGTCATCGAATATGCGTATACAAGTCGATTGTTTCTTGTCAGCTATCGTCCCGAGGTTATTGCTCGATATCTTCTCTACCGCATCCGGGCCGATCGAACCAATATTCATCCTTGGGTCCAAACAAATTGCCAGACGGTTCAGACTCTTGCCAAGCACGCCGGATGGGCACAAGACTTGCAGAAGGTGGAAATGCTCTATCAGGCTTCCTGCTCATGTCTGGCCTTGTACAAAGGCCGAGGAGTATTTCATGCTCTTAGTGTGGGGGCTGGCGACGAGATGCAATACGGCGGCGGTACATCCGCTAATTGCCTAACGGTAGCAGCCTGGGTCGGTGATATGGCGCTGATCAAATCATTTAACCTCGAATCCAACGCCTGCTCATTTTTCGGGAGACCGTTATGGGCTGCATCGGCCCAGGGCCATCTTGACGTTGTAAAGCACTTTTTGAATCATAACGCTACGGAAAACTGGCTGGATACAGAAAGAGGACCTTGGCCTGGAATTGCACGTAGTCCACTAGACGTGGCGGCGTACATGGGACGAGAGAGTATCGTCCGGCTCTTTCTGAATCCCCGGTACAACAACACCACAGTACAATCATGGGAAGGCTGCGCTATCCACAGCGCTGCCATAGGCGGCCACGCGAATATCTTAACGCTCCTAATACACCATTACAAGGAAGTGAAATATCCAGATGATATTGTAAAAACTCTTCATGCGAGCCTTATACAAAGCTGCAGGCATGGGATGCATCAAACAGCACAGGTTCTTTTGCAACACGGCGCAAAACCGATCTACACAGATGTATTTCCACGCACAAGCTTACAATGGGCAGCCATAACAGGGAATGCTGCATTGGTAAAGATGTTACTCGACGCGGGTGCAGAATTAGAGCCTGCGACTGAGCGGCATTTTCCTTCTGGCAAAAAAATGGGGAATTGTCGGGTGTGGAAAGACGGGCTGTCGGAAGCTAGAGACAGAGGCCATAAGGAAGTCGAAAGATTAATCCTTGAGAGGATGGCAGAGCTTCAGAAGTAAGGTCCAAGGAATCACTACTCGTCAGGCTCGGCCGATCATGGTGGCAGCGATGTTAGTTGTCTCGAATCCATTGTTATGGTGACAGACAAAGGAGAAGGCAATAATAGGGAATGTTTTACAGTGAGCAAGGAAACCAAATCGCCAAATATATGCAATATATGCATACTGTCCGTCTTTATTTTTCTACCTCTACTTCTATGCCTGCGCCGCCCTTTCCTCCATACTACTCTCTCCCTTCATTACCACTTTCATACCGAAACACTACCTTCCCGCTTCTCTCTCTCTTTGCACAATTCACCATTTGTTACTACAAGCTGCTTTCTGTAGCAGCACTCTTATAATGGACTCCGAGGGGGTAGAAGCACCACTTCCACAGTACTAGTTATCTCATTGATGTTACTCTTAAGCATGCATGATAACTGTTAACCATCACCACCATAACTATATTATCTCGCTTAGCACGAACCCTGTCATCACTTTGCTTTTTCAACATCATGCCATTCTCTCCTATTAGTGGAA